CCCCGCCCGCGCCGCCGCCGCCGGTGCCGCCGCCGCCCCCCCATCGGACGCTGCTGGGCCCGCAGGTGAAGGTGGAGCCCACCACCCCGCCCCAGTCCGGCAGCCCCAAGCAGCAGCTGGCCGTGCAGTCCTACCCCGGCTCCATCATCGCCCCTCCCTTCCTGTCCCAGCCCAACGCAGGGTCCCGGCCGGCCGGCATCGACGACGCCAAGACGCTGGACCAGAAGAGGCGCCCAGGGGGGTGAGTGACGCCCCGCTTTCAGTCTGTCTGGATTTCGGCCAGAACCTAAAAAAATCAAATAAAGCATTTTTGTCATTTTGAGACAAAACCTCGGGCTTAGGTCTCGCCAGATCTAGCACAGCTCCTCACAGGTAGAGAAAACATCTGTTTAGGAAGTGGTTTCTGTTTTTTAAACCTTTGAAGAAGCATGGGAGAGCTCACATCTGAATCCAATTAATACGGTTCCACGTCAGAACCCTTGAAAAGCAAGCAGCGTTGAATGGGAGTTGCTATTCAGTGTCGGCGGGTTTTGATACTGTTGTGGTTGAAGTTATTACATTTGTTAAACAAACACTGTATTCATTCTGTGGCCCTGCGAGACTTCGGACAGCCAGTAGGCTACTCCTTTACGGAGGCAGCACTGCAGACATTGGAATGAGTTTGAGTTTCTGCTGGGGGCTTCAGCCACACAGGAAGTCACAGAGGTAGAGGGAGACGGGACCTCGCTGGTTCAGTGCCCTTGTGGGACCGAGACATGCTGGGATTGGGGGCATGAACGCAAATGGAGACCTTTTGTGTTTCGCCACAGTGGGCACTGGTTAGAGAAGAGAGCAGTATCCTGGTGTTCCTGGCTTTGTTGTGCGAGCAGAAGGACAGAGATACAAGACCAGTCAGGGAGTCTGAGTTTTGTTCATCGTTTTAATACTTGTTCTGTGAGTCTCGTCCTGAAGAGTTGCCCTCCGCAAATCAATAATCCTTTTGTTCTGATCTGTGCTTGCAGGGCAGGGACAAGAGAAGTACATAACAAGCTTGAAAAAAACAGGTGGGTCATTCTCTCTCCCTGGTCTCTCATTCACAGATGTACTCAGGGTTCAGCTCTATAGAAAGCTGACAGTTAGGTAACCAGCAGTTGTGTTTGTCTGGGGCCCTTAATCATCTCACTGTCGGACTTATAAGTAGTTATAAGTCATGGTTGATTCTGATCCGAGTCCTGGATGAAAGGAGAGCTCCCAATCCTCACCTCTGTGAGGATAGTAGCAGGCTGGGAAGCAGGATTGTGGGGGTAGAACGATGTTCCCAGGAGTAAGGAGTACAGTGGAGGAGCTGGGAGGCAAGACAACAGATGATGGGGATTCAGACAGTTTGTTGCTTTAGTAACGAAATGAGCCGCGTGATCTGGGGAGGCTTGAGTTGTGAGAGGGATGCCGACAGGACTTCCTGTAAACGATGCTGTGCCCCAACACTGAGCCATTGGGAAGTCCAGCAAAGCCACCTCGTATTGCAAACAAGACCAAAAGTGTTCGGTAGTTTTGGCTAGAGAAGCCAGACAAAGTACACTTGATTGAAAGGAGTAATTAACATGTAGTCGTTTCTATGCAAAATCATCTAAATGTCCAATTAGTTCAAATGTGCTCGTCCAGCCTAGATCACTTTTAAAAGAAAACTGCTCAGGGTCTCCAAAAAGTCTAGTTTGAGACGTGTGTTGTGACTTGACTTGTGGCATTACTGGAGTGCACCCCAGGCTGCAGTCCGAAGGCAGCGCTTGCGATGGGGTGTTGCCGTGGTGCCGTTCCTTGAGGAACGGGCCTGAATTCCCAGGCGGCGGCACAGAACTGAGAGCCAGCGGGAGAGAGTGGGGGAGCAGTCAGCCGGAACTCTCCCCTCTTTGGTCGGCTCCTTGCCAGACACCTGCGGGCTCGCAGGAACAGCAGAACAATGAGGGCTCTGCGACTGGGGCACGGCTGCGGGTCTCGTTCTCCCGCGAGCTGGGTGCAGGGGTCGTTCCCGGAGAGAGCTGGCTCTCGCTCGGACCAAACGGCAGTGGCTGATTGGGTGGGGAATTGAGTAAAAAGGACTCTTTAATTGGCGATTCCAGCTTTCCAAGAGGAACGCCGGGTTGAAGATCATTTCAGTGAATGATCCTACTTGAAGCCCCCGTGGAGCAGACTAAACCTACATCATATCCCCGCTGTCGTCGCAGACTTACTGAGCGTCTTGTTCTCTCCAACTCTCTCCCCCCCACAATTAGACGGGCGCACCTGAAGGAGTGCTTCGAGACTCTGAAGAGAAACATCCCCAGCGTGGATGAGAAGAAGACCTCGAACCTGAGCGTGCTGCGAAGTGCCTTGAGGTATATCCAGGTAGGTGGCTCTGGTCATTGACCGTGGTGGTACCGCACAGAGAGTTCCGCCCTCCCCCCTGCAAAGAGCAGATGTGTCCCTGCTTGTCCTGCTGATCCCCTGCTGGTGTGTAGAGGTTCGGTGTGACTCCGAGTGTCACTCAGGGGGAGCTGCCCTTGGGTGCTGGATGAGAAGGATCCCCACCTGTAGGCGAAAGCGTCTTGGCATCCTTTAAAATGGAAAGTGCTACATAAATGCAAAAAAGAATTATTATATGGGGTAGTTGGAAGTAAAAATTCTAAGGGGTAGCAATTTACTGCATTCCAGAATTTGAGAGCCTTTTGTGCGTTGTGTAAGCCAGCACCTGGTGAAGCGTGTTGTGTGCTTGTTGCTGTATCTTCAGTAAAAGACAGCAGAGCCAGACCCTGCCGTTAATGTACACTGTACACTAATTTTCTGCTTCATTGGTTCTGTTGGTAGAAATGTTTGCAGCTCTTAAATCCTAGAGGGGATCAAATGGCCTGTGAACCCAGGGTCTTTGTTTCAATGCCTGTAAATATTGCATCATTACCATGTGTGCAGGTTTGGGCATCGTGGAAGATGTGCTGCCCTAACCTGCAAAAGCTTTGTGTTGCTTATCGCCGCATTTGACAAAAGGCCTTTCCAAGCCTTCAAGAACGCTGGTGCAGCCCCGTAATCTGTATTCCTCAAGCTTGTCTTCGGAGACGCAGTGTGAATCTATACTTGGTCTCCCCTGCCTGGGAATTGGCTTATGAGTGCGGATCAGGCAAGGGCACAGGGAAAATTGCTGTTTTTTAATTAGTTTGTTATTCCCTTCGGTCTGTGGAAAGAAATATGGAAATGGGTTGGCAGCAGGATTCCTGGCCTGTTGTCTCCTCTCAGTGTGCAGACGTTTGTTACCCGTTTCGTTTTCCATGAATTACGGAATGATGATCCGGAATTCCATGGGGTGATAGCAGTGTTTGAGGGTGTGGATAAAATCATGGCTCATGTTATTATAGTAAGACAGTATTCATGACAAAAATGAGCCACCGACTGTCTGACACCCTCCAAAAAAGTCTTTATTGTGCCTTTGAAGTTTCAGAAGTGTATCTGCACAGACCACAGGTGGGCTTAACTCAGTCTGCTTTGCTTACCGCCTGTACCATAGCTAACTTTAATGCAGCCACTCCACTTTCTGAATTGAACTTGCTGAACTTTCAGCCGCTCCACTTTCTGAATTGTGCCAAAGCTAAACCGTATTGTAGGTGCGCATTCTGTTGTTTCCGAAAACAAATGGAAAAGTTTCGTTTGCTTTTGGGCTCGTCATGTGGATTCCAGACAAGTGCCTCGAGATTGAAGTCTGGCACTGCGGCCCCAGGGTCTGCGCAGTGTTTACTGATACAGGTGGTGCCAGCAGAAAATATGTTGTTGCTAATTTGCGCTGGTTTGCACATTGAGCACCCCGTTTTGAAAACTGCTTTAGTGCTGGTGTCATGCATACTCAGCTAAAATGGGATTTGCTAGACAAGAAATCATTGAGCAGATCATACTTTGCATGCACATTACCAACATACTGCCCTAAAGGAAAGCACAGTGCTTGCTTCATCGATTAGAAGTGATGAGAAATACAATAGTTACAGCGGAGATTCTGTGGATTCTTTGCTTTGCAACATAAATGATCGTTTCTGATACGAAACCCCTCGCAGTCTCCCCGAAAGCCCACAAAGTCAAGCGGAACTGGGAACGCACAGGCTGGAAAGAGAGGGCGAGATTGCCACTGCTGGCTTGGAGAGAGCTGGCCCTTTCAAGCGAACTGGGTTGCGGTGGCTGTGCTGGGTGTTCTCGAGTGTCCAGTGCCCCTTGAGTGCGTGTGCGCGTGTGCACGGAAGAGCAGGGACACCAGGCGGCTCGTTAGCGCTCCTTTAAACGACACAAACGAAGGCGGCAGGGGGCGGGGGTGGTGGCAATCCTCTTTCATTAGATGGAAGTGGTTGATTATCCTGCTCGATCTGGGGCTGGAAAAGTAGGGCAGTGTGGGGGCTGGGCGGGCGTCACTGGTGCCCCCCCACGATGAAGCAGAGTCAGTGTGCCTCGTTCGACTGCCTGACTGCCCTGGCCCAGCTGACCTGCCCTCCTCCCCGAGCTGATTAAGGCTTAGGGAGTATTTTTAAGCATGTGCCGAGAGACTGGGCGGATTGCAGGCTTCTTGGGCTTGCGGCTCGGGGACACGGCCGAGACGGAGGAGTCACATGGCCCGAGTCCTAACTGCTCGTGGCACAGTGGGGCGCGGGGGGCTGGAGGGCACGGGCCCAGGCTGTGCTTGGGGATGCGGGACGGCGCAGGTGCGCCCCACTTCTCCGCAAAAAGGCGTCCTGTCGCCTCACATGCTGCTTGGATGCCTGTGCTGTTAAACCACCTGTAGAAAAACACCCGGCTGCCCCTGTGACAGAACCAGACGAGGGCTATTTTATTGCTTCTTATTTCTTCTGGTTTTGATTTGTAGACACTATAATAATGGGACCAAGCAGAGCGTGTAGCCTATGAAAAGGGGATTTTAAGGACTGATCTCCCTTAAATCCTGCCGATGAAAAACTTTGGTTGTTTTTAGAATTAAAAAACGTAGGGTTGTGTGTGTTTGTGTGCACCTGGCCATTGACGTCTTCGGTTTGAAGAGTAGAGCAGAGGACTGCCTGATTGGTTTGGGACCCTGTGCTGTGGCCTCAACCAGACTGACCCACCTTTTCCCAGCGCTGGACTTGTGAGTGTGGCTCAGACCAGTTTTGTCCACAGCCACTGACTTGGTAGAAATTTTCCCGGTGCTGTGCTTTATTTTCCCAAAAGATATTTGTATGGGAGGTAAAGAGTTGGCGGGTATTTGCCCCTTGCTCACTTGCTATTGACAGATTTCATGTTTTGCAAAACTATGATTTTTTAGGAGGATTATGCTTAACAATTTTACACTGTCGTGGGCTCAAAACACCTTTCAACTTTGTGCATTTATATACACCCTGCGTATCCACCGTATCAGTGTGTGAATGCACTTGTCTGTCTTTGCCTTGTTTTATTTTGAAGTGCCCCGAAATGATTATCATGAAACACAAAAGATTATTATACCAGTGAGTGAATGCGAACTGTCAGTTACAGGACGTACATCAGTGTAACAAAACCCAAATGGGGGAGGTAATTGCTTATGGAATTCGCTGTGTGAAAATGAAACGCTTGCCGCAGAGCGAGATCAGTTCAACTGTCTGATTCCGTTTACCCGACACAGCGCTGAAAGCTCAGACCATTGCAGTGTCGTAAAAATGCACTGCATAGAGTTGAAACCTTATTGCGTTTTTTCCCGATTTTAATATTATGAGCACATTTCTACCGGGTCAGGAGTTTTTTGGATATTAAAGATAATTGCGTAGACAGCAAATAAATATGTGCTTCTATAATGTCATTATAAAAGGAAATTACTTTGCTTTAAAGACAAAGGTAACAGAAACGCTTTGAAGAAGCCTCCAAATTTTTAACCAGCTTCTCTATAGCGATTGCTAGCTCCCGTGTGCATCTATACCTGTCTGAATGGTTTCATTTTAAACTAATTAAAATGGTGGGCCGTTTTCGTTCGGGTCTTATGACAACATGTGGAATCGCCAAAAGTCAAAGATGTTTTTAGCTCCCGGTTTTATCTTTTCTTTCGCCGCCGTTGCAGTTTTTTTTTGAAAGGCGCCCCGATCCAGTAACTCCGGAGTGCGAGAGGAATTTTTGCTAGACGCGGTGCTGTGCGCAGGACGCGCGTGCTTAAATCTCTGGGATGACGTCATCGCGCGCCGCTCTGCGCTGCGCGCCGCACTGCCCTCCCCTCCCCTCCTGTCTGCGCCTTTCTTTGTTGCTCGGGTCTCTGGGTCCACGTGAGAAATGAGCACATGGCTAGCCAGGGCCGCGTGACGTCAGCCCCCCGAGTCAGCCCCCGCCTCTTGCCCGGCACGTGAATCCCGGCTTCTGCAGCTCGCGCTGGAGACGAGCGTTTCAGCTCGGTCTTAATGGAGGCGGAGCGCGGTGTGCAGATGTGTGTGGAAATCCGTTTTAAGAAAATCAAATAAAGAGGCTATTCCTTGATTTTTGGTTTTAGACTTCTTTAATGCGGGATTTGTTTCAGAGGTTGCCTTTTCCTTAATGTATTGAGACAAGAATTTCTTGCTGAACCGGTTGTGTGTACGCACTCCTGCCATGATACGAGTTAAGAGGCAGGCTGCGGGTTCTGGTGATTCGATAAAAACAGCGTGTCATGTCAGTGTAAGAACAATGTGTATCCGTGTTAACAAAAAATACCCTTCTCCCAGTTCTCCCACTTACCTGAGCATGCTGCTTTTATATTGGATACTTTCCTCTGAAGCAACCTTTTGCAAATCAACTATATTCAGTTTAAACTTACAAAGGGTGCTTGTATGTTCTGCCTGTGTTCAGGTGGGTTTCCTGCAGGTGCACCAGTTTCTTTTCACAGTCCAAAGAGGTCCTGGTAGGTTAAGTGGCTTCTGGGAGAGCTGGCCCAGTTGTGAGTGTGTGTGTCTCAGTGTGTCTCTGGCCTCCTGTCCAGGGTGTATCCTGCCTTGTGCCCGTTGCTTGCTGGGATAGCTTCCAGCTCCCCCGTGACCCTGAAATGAAAGAAGCAGTTCGAAAATGGATGTGATAAGAAGTCGTGTGCATTCTTGAGGCATGTTAAAACGAGCACATGCTAATTAAACACTTGTGAATATGGAACTCCCTGCACTATTTTGACACGTTCGCCGGGGAAGGAGGAGGAGGAAAGGAATTAGCAGCTTGCTTGCAGCTTTGCACCAAGCCCATCAAGCAACTGGTCCCCAGTTCTCAGAGCAGAGTAAGAGCACTGGCAGAGTGGACTGTTTGAAACGGATCAAGAGCAGGGTTGAACCGGAGTGGAAGTCTCTTGTGGGCGCAAGTTTTCTTGCGCCGTGGGGCGTGCATCTCTTGAAGCCGTCGGAAGTGGGCTGCGTGCAGAGGGGGCTGAA